AGGAGTGTCAAAAATAAAATCTACTTACGACTGGTATCTGACAGGAGTGACTTTATTCTTCTGTTTGGTTTGGTTTGAGAGTTTTTCCAGTGGTTTCATGTGGTTGCGGTCAATATCCTGACCAGTGCTGCTATGTTGAAAACGTGTCGTAGAAAAACAACGTCGGACATATTTACCAGTAGCTGCCCATTGCAAATTTCTTAAACCTGACATTGTGTGGCGCGTCTTGTTAAACAGATAGTGGTGAGATTTTTGGTGACCTTAAATTTCCAAAACACTTGCGCAACTGCCTTTTAAGTGAAATAAGTGCATTGGGTGAATTTAATAGCGATGATTGTTCTAGGAGTAGTCAGAAGTGCACTTGACAAATCAAGTAGTATAACATTTTGTATTATCAAGTGTGGGTCAAATTACCATAATAATTAAGCCGTTTCTTATTAACAATACCTTTGCTCCTAAGGTTTAATAACAATTATGCCTAAATGGATTTTAGTCTTAAAAGCTGCCAACCTGAAATATTATTGAATAAATTAAAAATTGATGTATACATCAGTTACGTTAATGTATTGGTTATTGGAAATAATATATCATCCTAATAATTAAAAAAAAAAATTACAAAGGTAATAACCATTCAATTTCTTCTAATATTTATCAACATATAAAACAGAGCATAATTTTCACATAATATTTAACGTAAATATTTAACACAATATTTAACATTAAAAAAATATTTTTTGTACATATTAATTAAATGTAGTACCATCATCAACATTTCAAAATAATTGTTTAATGAAAAAAATGAACGTACCTTGAAAACGTCACTGGGTCCTTTCGAGAGTACTTAATCTGAAATATAGCAAGAGTGAAAAACTGTTAAGCTTACCGTCCTAAATACGCAAGAAGAAAGAATCTGCGCATGAGCAGTTAGTTGTCACGACCCGGTTCACCGTTTCTTTTTTAGTCGTTAACATTACAGATGATTGTATAAATATTGGGCAACGCAACAGTTTCTATAAATACCACACAGCGTCGCTCAATGGTTAATATTAATATCGGGCGATACAAAATTGGGTCCTTCAAATACTCGAGATAATGTTCAACACACAGCATTTATCGTTTGTGTCCATATCTTCTTGATAGGAATATATTTTTAGAAATCATCAGGCCTTTGTCATGACTGTATAGTGCTTTTTTTTTAATGTGTTGTTTTTGATCGGGGGTCAAGGGGAGAACTAACTGAATCTGTAGACAATTGAGAGAGGTTCTTAATAATTTCAGATCCTTACAGGCCTATTGCAATTTCTATAGGCTGTTGCACTACGATCAGTAGGCCTAAATTGAATAAACTGAAAACATGCAGAAGATTTACAATCAAATTCTTAACTAATATAGGCAGTAATACTAAGTTTTATTAGATTCCCGTGACTAATTCAACATTAATGTAATAATAATGTGTTCTACAATCTAAAGAATATAGGCTATTATAGGCCTAAGTATGGAATATTAGAGATATTTACACCTTGTGCAACGGAATAAGATGAGATTACTAGTACATTTTTTTTCTTGATCTTTCAAGGTAAACATCATTATACTAATACTGAAAATTATCACTACCAAACGACAGGTGATATTTGGATCTTCATTCGGTATTATACAAAACAATAGATTATTTATAAACAAATCAATGATTTCACCTTAAATATTGTCTTCTAAATAAAACGACATATTAAATTGACTTATAGTGTCTCTTAGTAATTTTTTTTGTAAACAATTTACAATAATTGGTATTGTTCAGATTATCGCAAATACGTGTCTCTTATCGCGAAAACATCTCATCCCATCTAATAGAGAAATGTAAATTGAATAACACGCGAGTTATAAGGACTATTGGTTGCTTATAGCGTTGGACACTTAAAATGGGCACTGACGTACGACAATCGTACGATCGCCGTACGACGAATCCAACTCCGCTCCCTGTGAGCGCTAGACGAAAGGATCATCATTAAAAATGATTTCGTTATGCGCGCGTCGTGGCGTTGCGTTTAATGGCGACAGCCATCAAAAGTCGGGCGCAGAGAGTGACTGGCATTATAAGGCTCACAGTGGAAATTCATTTTTCATTTGATTGTGGAAGAGCTATCCTCTAAGTATCAGATGGTTTTTCAAATTAAAATTCCCATCACCTGTTCTAAACTTATTAGCACCGCGGTCAAGTAAGAGTTCCATTTATTCTTATTGGCGCTAATGCACTTTAGTACTCCACCATACGTTAAGATAGCAAGACTGGAGTTGTGGTTACGGTTAGGGTGGAAAAAAGAGCCCAGAACGCCTCAGTTATTTTCGGGAGTCTAGAACACAACCATTTCGCAGGGGAATGCCCCGGATCCCCTAGGACATTGTTGTCTCGATCAGCCCAACTTTAGGCCCCCTTTCACACCCACCCTTTTGGACATCTCTGGATCCGCCCCTGCAGAGTGCATTACCTTTTATATGTATATTTTCCCGATTATATTTCACACCCACCCTTTTGGACATCTCTGGATCCACCCCTGCAGAGTGCATTTCCTTTTATATGTATATTTTCCCGATTATATTCTACTAACCTTTTTTAATTTAAATAATATACATACATACATATACATTGTACTCGCATACATGTCAGGATGACAAGTAGCTTACATTAATCAAATATTGATTAGAAATCCTAGGCATATGTCAACATACCTACATACATACACACTCACGTTAATATTCGCATACTCATACCTATATGTGCAATACCCACACTTACACAATAAGCTTAAATTGGGGCCTAAAAAAATGAAGAAGTTATCTACATACACATAACTCCATAATGCCATTTTATTTATTTTTGTTTTTGTTGTCATACCTATATGTGCAATACCCACACTTACACAATAAGCATAAATTGGGGCCTAAAAAAATGAAGAAGTTATCTACATACACATAACTCCATAATGCCATTTTATTTATTTTTGTTTTTGTTTACCTTTTAAATTTTATTTAATAACTTTCTGTTATAATACTCTATTGAAAATATGGTGGCAGTGGAATTAAGCTTCCATTTACCAATGTGCTTTAACGTTCGAGCCTTGTATACAGAATGCTCCAAGATGCTCCATCTAAAAATCTGTTGCCTGTAACTAGTACAATGTTATGGAAGGACAGTGGTGTTTCTAATTTGAATCTATAATAACAATAAATAAAATTCCACATTAATCTTGCTTCTTTACATTAAAAAAAATAAGGTAATTCATCATCCAGTACATTGCATTCAATACACCGATTATCCTTAACAATCTTATATTTAAATAATAATTTTCATGTAGGTACAATTATGTCAAGTAACTTAAAGTTCAATTGCCTAATTATATTATCCTTATTATTTTTGTGTTTACTGCGACAGTTCAGTCTCTGTTTTCATTCTTCAACAAAATTTCCCTTTTCCGTTGGGTTTGAACAGGAGGCTTCGCAGTATTCTTTAGTAACAAACAATACATTTGATTTGTTGTCATTTTTAGAATGGGGTTTCTAATACTTGTATGCTTGGGCATATCCTTATTACTTACTACATTTTTTGTTAATACAATCAGTCACTCTTTGGGAATGGCTTTTAACAAACATGAATACTCTGACATCCAGTTATGTTTGGCATTCAGTTTATTTCTAAGCTCAAGAGATGGGAGAAAATTGTTGTTTTTTATGATGTCTTTAACCTTTAATATTCCTGAGTTTATCCAATTCCGGTAGTATACCGAGTTATTATTTATACACACAAATTTGTTCAGCAATATCACCGTTAAACCACTTAACTTTAAAAGACATTACTTGCGACTTAAAATCAGTCACTCTAAGACCCCCATGTTCGTAATCTCCATACATGGTACTTCTTTTTATTTTATCTTTTTATTTTTCCAAATAAACTTCAAAATAATTTTTTCAACATCTTTGATAATACTTTCTGGTACCTCAAGAATACTAGCATTATAAATAAGCTTTGATAATGCAAGAGTTTTAACGATCGTTATTCTACCAAAAACCGTTAGATTTCTTTTCTCCCATGTAGTGAATACTTTTTTTCAGTGATTTAACTTTTTTTTCTTTCCAATTCTTTTTGTAACAGAAGTCATTGTCATGACCTACATGAATACCAAGAATTTTAAGTTGGCCACGATATATTACCTGGTTTACATTTACAGTCTTTTAATCTGCCTAACCACAATGCATTTGTTTTCCCTTTATTTGATTGTAAACCAGATATTTTACCAATTTGTTCAATCACCTCAATGCTTTTGGTGATACTTTCTGTGTTTTTCAGAAATAATATCGTGTCATCTGCTAATTGTGATATTTTAACAATTTCATCATTGTCGTTACCAGAAGGGATATCAATACCCTTATTTGTTTCAGTTGTTCTTATTTTCGTTGCGAGTATCTCGGCAACGAGTATGAAGACGAGTGTTGATAGATGGCAGCCTTGCCTTATACCTTGTTTGATAGTGAAGCTTTCTGACACCCAGCCAGAATTAGTGAATATCATTAATATTAGCTGTGCAGATGTCAATAGAATAATTATAATCGCATAGAATCGTATAGTTAAATTGAACTTATAAAATATGATGATGTTATGAAAATTAGATAATCACACAATATAGTTCATACAACCTCCTTCTTCTTTGCAATAATGAAATATTGATTGTTATTGTATATTTCGTTACTATTTCAGCCGCTCCGAATTTCTTTCCTATTCGTCCTTCTTCCTTTATTCTTTCATATTTTACGTTTATTTATTCATAATTACATCAGATTACTTACAAATACAAATTAAGTTTTTTAAATATACTGTAATTGTTTAAGTTTATGGGCTAGTCTCTGTATATACTTGTTCTATAATTAACATAATTCAATCTTCGTTTAATTTAAAAAGTCGGACATAATGTCCAAGTCTCGACCACCCTGAGTCACTCTCAGATATTCTTATCTTCATATGGCTTCTATGAATGGATACCTTGTTCGAAGCAAGAAATCAAGTTGCCTTTACTCAATACCGTTCGTGTTTTTATCGGCGGGAAATCTCCCCTACTATTAAGTCTAAGGAGACCATGAGCAAGATAATTAAGAGCATCAAGTAAGAAGCATTATCTTGAAATAAATGCGTTCGTTGGTCTTAAGCCAATGTGTATATGTTATTTTCAGTGGCGGATTTCGACTTCGACTTTGTTCTGAAATCTGTGACGCATTGGGCGGGGGATAAATTGTTCAATTTTTTTTTTTTAATGGGGATATAACGAAAATTATATTCAAATTTAAGTTTAAGAGTGAAATTTCCCGCAATCTAGAGGTGCCATAATCACAAATTTTCGCACCTCAGCCCCAGTTATGGTGGGGCTGAGGTGACCACGAAGACCTATCTATCTTTAGTATTGTTACAACCTTGTAGCTGTGTTTTGGACGATCTAAAGGTGAATAAGATGTTTTAGGCTGCAAACATTGGAGAAGAGCATTGCAAAACTCGAGCTAGCTGAGAAGACACCATGAACTGACATGACTTTTGGATGGTTTATATGGGTAAATTTCATTTCATTAATTTGGCCTCGATGATCAGTTGAGGGGCGCTAATTCGCAAAATAAGCGGATTTTTAACTACTTGACCGTGCATTTTGGGGCGACGAGAGTAACTTTTTGGGGGGCGTGCACCGCCGCGCACTATGCAGTGGCTCTCCAAACTGATCGAGAACATTAAATTGGACAAAATTACACTATATTTACTCTTAAATATATCAAATAATATCAAAAATGTATTAACGGGAAAAAATCTAATACAAATTCACAGATATAAAATTGTTTGTGATTCTTTTTTCTGTACACAAGTTGATTTTTGCCTGAACTGAAATAGATTAACGAAAAGGTTGTCCCATTTGCTCCTTAAAGTCACATTTTCCGCCTTTACCATTGAAGAAAATGAATGTTTCTAAAAAAAAAAAAAAATTATCTGTATTTGGCTGTTTCAAGCTTTCTTTTTTGGTCTCTCTCACTCGCGAACAGTTTTTAATTTTCTTTTTTTTTTTAACGGATTATGGGAGCAAATTATACACTCGAAACTTATGCAAACCTTAATATGATTACTTGAGTATGTTTAAAATAAAACATAAAGTCACTCCAAATTTTTGTTTTGGCTATACGGGCTGCTAAAATGACTTCATTTGTGATCATTATAATTCATTAGGAAAACATAACATAAGAAGTTTGTAGTATAGCCCTATGTATCGGGTTGTTCGTTACCTTCATATTCCAGGTATTGTGGTTATAATATAAATACCAAGTATACATTATTTATTAAAAGTTTCAATAGAATGACATTTATTTACTGAGTAATGATTCATTTTGTAAGAAACCCCACACATGGAAATAGACAACCAAATCAACACACAGTGCAGCGATTTGACCTCGATCGCCTAGTTGATGCAAACGTGGAAAACTGGCCAAAACTATTCTGTATTACAATTAAACTTAAATATAATCAAATACAACACGGATCTAGTAAGATGTTGAAACCAGAAAGGTTTAAACTAGGATAAAATTAAATGACTCGGATTTGGCAGCATTTAGAAAAGTTTATTCGCAGGATTAATGGAAAATCGTTTAGTTCAAAGGAAATGCAAGGCTGCGTGTCGTCATATAATATCAATATTCCCCTTATTTCAAAACTACACTTTTAAATCAGTAGCATACCTAATGCGATGCGTTCACAATAAAACTATAAAACCACAGATTTATAAAGAACACACTGTATTACGGAAGGATCAGCAATACAGACAAAAATGCAAACGATTTGAGTATACTATATCTCCACAGTAAATCATGCCTGTTCAAAGTTGTCGCAAGTATTTTGAGAACGTACTCCGTATTCGGTACGATAACAAGTCAGGTAGGGCAAAATCATCACTATTAACACGCTGGCTGCCAGTAACGTCTATACCTGTCTCTTATACACATCTAGATGTGTATAAGAGACAGGTATTAACACGGAAGTGGATTGGTTTCCCACTCTCGAGGTCAGGGTTTCGATCCCTCGCTGTGCAAGTCGCTTATGTCCTTGAACAAAGCACTTTATCTGCACCCTCTCCACCCAAGAGTATAAATGGGTACCCGGTAGGAT